TCTCCACCCTTGATTTATCAGTGCTTCCCTCCAGGAAGCCCAATTCCACTTCCACCAATGGACTTTTATAAGACACTACACATTGAAATACAGGATCAGCTTCTGGAGAAAAAGTGAATAAAGCAGATAACAGAGCCCAGTGGATAGAGAGTTAGGACCTCATGGGGCAAAACTTGGCCCATAGGAAACAAGAGATAGGAGATAGCTAGGCAAATAAGTTTCCTCTTCTTTCTCTTTCTGTGAGTTGCTCTAGGGAAACATTTCTCCTTAGAAACTTTCTGTTAAATCCTCATGTATGGAATTTACAATCTTAAAAATTACCTGTTATTATTCATTATAAATTGTCATCCAAGGGGGTAATACATCGCATTCTATCCCACCTTACTTACTTCCCGTATTGTTTGCACCTTCCTTGCCCTGGCTTGCATCTTCAAATGACCCATGTACCATGATCCTCTGTCCCAAGATCTTATTTCTCTAGGACCCAGGCTAAGAGCCACTGCTTTCTGTAGATGTGGAGAAAGGAAGCAATTCAACCAGCTTAACACCATCACTAAGACTCTCAGCCCAAATTATGCATCAGAAAAGTGTGGTTCAGTTTTTAATAACAGAGATCTTCTCATCCCTTCCCCACACCGGCCAGTCAATCCAACTGAAGATCTATTGAAATTCCAATGGTAGGGCACCCATAGATATAAACAGCATTCTCTAGTAGTCTTGATTTACTGATATATTGTCACAGGAAATAATGCTATTCTGACCTTTGACAAAATAAAAACTTGGAAGTGATGACTCAGGAGAGTAGGAGATTGTTATATTATTTCCCCCATTAGAATCAGCTAGCTAGAAAAACATCAAAAGTTTAGATTGGAAGGGAAATATACCCAAGGAAACATCCTTACCTGAGTAATGTATCACATTGTGTCAAAATGTAATAAACCTTGTAATAGTTAATTCATCTTATTTGCCTCTCTGAATAGAGAAGTCCAAAAGGGTGGCTTGTTCAAGATCATTTCTACAGTTAACTAGAGACATGGAACTAGAACTAGCCTTGCTACTTTCAGGTTAGTTCTCCACTCCACTCCCCACTGTGATGACAGCACTGGAACAAGAAAGGGACTATCATAAAAGTCTGAGTTTAAGAAGAAGCATAGAAAAGAGAAATGAAGAACAGAAAGAAGAAAAGTGGTAGCAAAATGAAGAATTAGGTTTTTCCAACGCTATACTTTCTTGACTTCCTTCTTGGGTCTCAATATGTTTTGGATATAGGTTGAATATTTCCTGCAGGGTTGATGTGCTGGAACTTTGGTCCCCCAGTGATGTTGGAAGTTGGTGGAACCTTTAAGAGGTGAGGTTCACTGGAAGGTGATTAGATCACTGGGAACCTGACCTCGGAAGAGATTAATATGGGTCTCACAGAGCCATGTAGTTCATGTGGCAGCAGGCTGTTACAAAGCAAGTATGCCCCATGTATTTGACCTCTTCTGTACATGGCTGCTGTCCTTTCTGCTTCTCTACCATTTTGTGATGTATGGGGGCATCACAAGTGTCTGAAACAATGAGGCTGCCTGGTCTTGGACTTTCAGCCTGCAAAACTATGAGCTAAATAAACAGCGTTACTTTATAAGTTACCCAGCATCAGACATTTTGTTATAGTGATGGAAAATGGACTGTTAAAAGTGTAGAGTTGGCTTGGACTCATTCCTTTACTGAGTTACCAACAATCATACCCTTGGACTTAATTTCACCTCTGATCCCCAAATCATTGCTCTGATAGATAATTATTTTGGTTCTGTCTATCCCACTATATAGGAAACCAAGATGAAGAAAGTTGGGTAAGTTTTATGTATCTAGGATTCTTCTTGTGTGAGATATAAAATAAAAATCGGAATTTTAATGTAATAGTATTAACTAAGAACAAAATGTGGCCTTTAATTCATGTACCTTGAAAATCAAGATGAAATGTTTCACACAGTTTATCACTTAACAAACTTCATTAGGATACTTAGCTATTTGACAGAAGAAGCAAGAGTTGATGACAAATTAAGAAATGGCTTGCTAATTGGGAAACAAAATGGAATTACTATTTATAGTTTAATTGTATAACTACTATGCCATAGGTATTGTACTAAGCCTTTCACATGCTTTCAATCATTTACTACTAGAATCCTATGAATGAGATTATCCTGATTTTATAGATAGTGAAAAAAGGTAGATTGGTTAGTTGTAAATTAAGTTAAAGAGTTTGATTTGGAATTCAGCCCCAGTTCCCAAGCCCCTTTTATTTCTTTTATACTGTAGTACCATGGAGTGATTATGAATGTTAGATAAATTTTGACAACTTCAGCTATATGTCAAATGGTGCCACTAAGTAAAATCCTTAATTTAGAGATTGGGAAAAAGATTTTTTTTAATCTTTGCAGACTACCAATAAATAGCTTTTCTCCTCATGTAGAAAAGATATTTGGGGACATATTCAGTATTCTTTAAGTCACTTTAAATCTCTTTTCTCTGACAAACTATAATGCCTAACCATAAATGGTTAATATCCTTGTCCAGCTAAAATTAACTTTGTTTTAGTCTTACTATGTAAAAGATGTTGAATGTGACTTAGGCTAAAAAAGTTTGGTATAGCTCTCCTAAAAATGAAATAAGCAGAATTCTTCCTTCCCTAAGGAACTGTATACAGATATAACATATTCACCAGTGCTAAAGTGCATAAATCATAGAGCAGTTATTAGAGAACAGAGCCAAAGTAAAAGGTCCATTGTCAAGGAGTCTTATTTGAGTGTCTTATACTCCACTCTCAGTTTGTGAGCTTCTCTATAGCATCAATAGCAATAACTATCATCTCTTCTATGTTTCCCCCATTAATATTATGACACCCCAGTGTCTTTGACACAAAAAATATCAAAATACATAAAAACAAATTAAATATTTCATATACACTATTTAAATTTTACCACTAATATTATAATGACTAAAGTTTACTGAGTACTTAGGTATGACACATTGCATTATTTTACATTGCTCATAAATCTATGCATTAGATATTATTACTTCTTTTTCCCTCCCTCTCTCTGCTTCATTCTCTTCTTTCCTTCTTCTTTTTTTTCTTGAAAATGTGGAAACTACATGTGTAAATACCAAATAATTTCTCTAGTGTGAGAAACTAAAATTGTAAATAAGGACTAAAAGGTATAATAGATAATGTGAAATAGGAAGAAAAGGGGCAAAGGGGAAAGGGAAGTGGGAGGGGTAGGGGAAAGGAAAGAAGGGAATGGAATTAATATGAGAAAATGAAAAAATGGAAACAAAGTCTTTGTAGACAGGGAGGAGTGGCGGGGTTGAAGGGAGGGCAGGGGAAGGGGGAAAAATAAGAACCAAGAGAGATTATGTAAAGGTGCAAATTTCCAATGATGAATGTCATTATATTGTATACCTTAAACGTACCAATAAAATTAATTTTTAAAAAAGTGGAAACCTGAACTCATCAGACTATGTTATTTGCACAGGACCACAAACACAAGCAGGAGCCATACCTGCCTGCTCCTGGCCCCGTCGTATGGAGTGTCCAGCTGTAGTTCCAACAAACTAGATCATGTGCTACTTGGAGGGCAATGGTCATTTCAGTGGCAACTGCATGCTCTTCATCCCAGAAATAAGTGTATCACTTCTGTTTATTTGAAAATTTGGGTAGGGCTGAGTCAAGTCCTCTTTATCTCACATGAAACAAATACACAAAACAATAAAAATTTTAAATCTTTAAATTTTTCCCACCAGATTGATTAAATGACCCAAAGGCTTGGCTAAATATATTTTATCCAATTTCAGAAGGCATATTTTTAAAAAAGAAAACATATTTTGATAAATATTAATTGTTTATAAGTAATATTAAATTCTGTCTCATTTCTCTGAGTACACTGAGAAGAAATGTCCATGGACTTTAGCCAATCATATTTGTCCTCTGTACTCTGGAGTCTTTGGTATATACAAGTTTTGTCATATTTTCTGTGTTGTATCCATTAAAGAGAAGTTAAAGAACTTTTCAGAATTTTGGAAGTGCTTTAGAGTCTGTGGTGCTACTGCCCTCTCCCTGTTTGTCTCATATGCCTATTTGGTAGCTAAAATGAGTATCCATGGTGCAGGTGGAACCTTTAACTTCCACAGAGGTAAACAACACTGTCATCAGAAGACTCTACTAGTGATTGGAACTTTGTTCTATTTATAGGAGCATTAGGGACTTCATATGCATCAAAAGCCCTAGGAGAAAGTAACATTCAAAATAAGAGACTAGTGAAAGATTGAGGATTAAAATTTATAGATACTAAAATATCACTCCTTCCAATTTCATATGAGGAAGGAAGAAGGAAGGAAGAAAGATGGAAGGAGAACAACGTTTGTGTTAATTTTTAGTTTAGTCAAATCTGCACTCATAAAGCAAAGTAGAACGTTGAAATTAATTAAGATAGACAATGAGACTTTGCAACAGGTCCAGAGAATTCTGCGATAGCCATTACCATCTTATTGGTCTGACTGAGAATACAGTTTTGCCCTAAGTAGCGGTGACAAGAGGAGGAGTAGAAGTCTGGGGTGTGTTGGGGAGCTGGTAAAGTGGGAGGAAAGGTGGAGAAGGAATAGCATGGAGACAAAAGCAAAGGCTTGTAAGGAGAAAGCCCTGAGGACAGTAAAAAATATTCAACCTAAGAAGCTCATGTTTTGTAAATTTATAAATCTTCTGAGTCTTTTAAAAAGCTATAGTAGTTATTTCTTCAGTATTGTTGATATAAGACTTTCTAATTCATAAACTCTTTAGGATCATAAGGTGAATCTCATCTATCTCTTGAAATCTCTCTTCAGAAAGTGATACATTCTTGGGCAGGGAATTTTGCTCAGTGGTTCCACCGCCTGCCTCGCAAGCGCAAGGACCCAAGTTCGATCCCTGATACCAAAAAAAGGAAGCAAAAAATAACACATTCTCAAACACAAATTTTTCTACATTTATTTAAAATTAGAAAAATTGTGTTGTGTATCATGGTACAGTAATAAGTAGCTTTAACCTTGGCATTCAAATCTTCCAATTGCATTATTTAATTTACATTTTTGATAATATATGCTCTGCTCATAAAGTTCCAGATTAAGCCATTATAGATTATCAAAAATATGTTCATGCTAACATTCTCTTTTTTTCATGTTTTCTTAGATGTATTTTAAGGCATCAAAACCAAAACACTTCTTATAGAAAGGAAACTAAATTTAGAGTTTCACAACAGTTTCTGTATTGTCAGTGTAAAAATACATGACAAAATAAAAATTCTTAACCTGGCCTACTCACTATGAAAATCTGAATTTTCCCCCAGTAGTTGTTTAATTAACTACTTTTAATTCAAATACATGAGGTTGTTTTTATGAGTACCATAAGTTTGTCTATCTCTTTGTACCTACTGATAAATACTACCGGCTTGATTGTGTGACATACATTTTAAAGAATAATGTCCTACACTTGTATATACTTTTCTGCTTTCACAAACATCAGTATTCTTACACTCAGCCTACAAATTAAACTGCTTTGCCCATATTACAACAAGAAGAATCCCTATGGTTAGAATTACAAGGTGACTTGCTAGAGGTCACAGTGCTAGGAGACAGCAGGACCAGTACCATAGCCCATTTTACCTGAGTTTCGGCCCAGGCAGCTGCTTTACCCAGGTACAGAGATAGATACAGGTACTGATTTCCATCTGCAGGAATCTTACATGCCAGTTGAGCCACAGAACTGTTCCTTCATGGCCAAGTGACCTACGCCCTTTTCATTACGTGATCTCTTCTGGACCAGCCTGGATTTTAAGACAGGACACATTACCTAGACTGAGGGAATGATTCACAACCCTTCAAGCAAATTGGTCCATTAAAAGAGTCACTTCACATGCAGGACCCTGGGAGCACAGGCTTGATTTGGATCTGCTGCTCTTCATCCAACGGTGAGCTGAACAGCTGTGTCACTTCCAGAACATCTGCCCTTAAAACATGAACTGCATTTGCTTCAACGTGATCTCTAAAGAGATAAATAAGCATAAAATTGAATTTGAGCTTTTGGGTGAATCTTTGCATTGATCCCTTGAAAGGGCAAATTTTAATCTTTTCTCATATATGACATGCAAAGAAATATCCCAAAATTTAAAACTGATATAAAGTTACTAGATCCTCAGAAACACTTTTGCTTAACTTTGACAGAATCTACTTGATAAAAGTAGTAGGAGCATAAAAATGCTCCTTTGCCTTAGGAAAATATCAGGTAAGAGTGTACTTTTACATTTTACTAGGCAATACAAAGCCCTGGAACATTATAATATCATGTACTCTCATCCTACCTTATATGCTATTATTATGCATTTTAATTCTGTATGTTTTAAAATCCCATAAGATATTATAATTGTGTCACATGATCACTATCAATTGAGACTTATCTGCACATTTTCCCTTTTTGTTTTTTATTCTTTTTGCAGCCCTGGATTTTTTCTAGTATAGCCACTTAGGAAACAACTGACCACTTCTTAAACGTTTAAATATAAATTTAATAATATAATTTATGCTACATAAAATGTGATTCTATAACATACCTGTTATATAAATTAATATACAGTAAACTTAATGTTTAATAAACATAAAGTTAAACAAAAACTCCAATTTCACTTTTTACCCTCAAGATAAATCAAAGCATATCCCTACAAAGACCTGCTTGTGAATGTTCAGAGAATACTATTTGTAACCACCAAAAAGTGAAAGCAATATAAATGCCCAACAATTACTGAATGTATAAACAAAAATATGGAGTATCCCTACAATGGAGTACTACTCAGAATGGAAAATGAATGGAATCATGATTCATACAGTAACAAGGAGTAATCTCCAAAATATTATGTTAAGTGTGAAAACTAAGGACAAGAGACTACATTCTTAGGGATCCATCCATATGAAATGTTCAGAAAAAGTAAATGTGTAGAGACAGAATGCAGATTAGTAGTTGTCTGGGTCTGGGTACAGAAAAAGATTCACTACAGACAAATACAGGGGAATTTTGGATAAAAGAATATGTCCTAAAGTTCATTTTGGTGATGGTTGCTCAGCTCTGTAAATTTACTAAAACTCACTGAATGATGCCCTCAGCATGGATAAATTTTATAGTGCGCAAATTATACCTCAATAAAGCTGCCATCCTGGGCATTCTGCAGACATAAAAGGCACCATCCAAAGTTTGATCCAGATGTCAAGGCCGAAGGTGCCACATACACACTCAGGGATATGAAACCATTTGTGGCATTCTGGGAATATCAGGGTGAGTTTCCCAAGAAGGAGATTGGCTTGCGTGTCTATTGTGGTTAAATGGTGAGACTGAGGGGAAGATTCCCCTTTTTTGCCAAGGATTTGTGGGCTTGAAACTCTTAAAGGTATCAAAGAAGGGGACTCCTGGGATTTATCATCAGTTTTCCCAGATACAACGCAAAGGAGAATAAAAGAGGTAACTCAAAACATATCTGCATCTAACATCAAAAAATGGAGTCGGGCTGGGGATTTAGCTCAGTGGTTTCACCGCCTGCTGCACAAGTGTAAGGACCCGAGTTCTATCCCCAGTACCAAAAAAATAAATAAATAAAAATAAATAGAGTCAGACTCTTTATTATACCTGTTTAAAAATTCTTTCCACTAGAAGATCTTTGCTTATTTCTCAGGTTACATATTCCCTAAATATATTACACTACACTACATATGACACTTCTCCATCCTCACTGTCCTTTCATTGTTTCTTTTCCTAGATGTAACCTGTTGGAGAGCAATATTTAAAGCCTCAAATATTTCATAATATGTGGAATATGCTGTACATCAGAATCTTTGGAAATATGTGTCAGATTTCTGGCATGAATTGGGAGTGAAGAAGGGAGAGGGAAAAAAACAGGTCCCTAGGAAAAAATTCATCTCCAAAAGCATACTTCTTTCTTCACACCCTCGAGCTTTATGACTGCTTCATCTCAGATGATTTAATTTCATAATCCAAAGGAAATAGAAAACAATGGTTTAATAAAAGAAGGATTCATATTTTTCTTTGTTCCCAAAGAGGCAATTTCATATGAATCTTCATTTTCTCTTGAGTATCAAGTAGCTAATTTCAATATTATGTTTTAACATCTTTAATTTGCATTTTTAAATTTTAAAAAGTGTGTTACAGTGAAATACATATTGCCATTAATCAGCCTCAAAATACTCACCCTTGTGTTGAACACACTTATCCATCATTCTTGCCACTTTCTGAGGCAGTTGTGAAGCCCTCTTTTGTGTCTTTTTGTGGCTGTCTCAATGTCCTGAATAAATTCAAAATATTTATGGCAATTTCTGTGGAGTAAAAACATTGTGGTGTGTCTTATCACCCTTATTTATCACTATGGAACTTCTGGCTCATCCACAAACTTTTGGCTGTTCCCCAAAGTGAAAAGGACCATGAAACATAAATGTTTTGAATCAATTCAGGACATCAAGCTATTTTCGTGAAAGAAGACTTCCACAACTCTTTCAGAATGTGGTAGGAATGATAGAATAAGTGTGTTCAAAATGAAGGGGAATATTTTGAGCAGAATGAATGGCAATGTGTATTTTATTGTAATAAATGTTTTTTTAATTTAAATATCCATCATATTGTTTAATAACACCTCATATTTAAGCTTCTCTTATACTCAGAAAAAAATCAGATGATTCTGCATATACCTATACATTTTCCTATAGTCTGCATATACCTGTACATTTTCCTATAGTCTCTTATCTCCTAATAAGTTGCAGACTCTCTAATACCACCTTTATCCATGGCCTGATTGATAATAAGTCCTTGTTTGCCAGAGAAAATCCCATTTTACTTTAGTTCTGAAGAAATTTTTAATAGGTCATTCTTTAAAGTGATTTCATTTTAATATTAACTTATATACTCATGCTGAACATTATCTGTTCATAGATATTCAGGATCTTTTTAGATAAGACTACTCTAAATAGATCTCCAATTTTAGACCAATCATTTATAGCCACGTGTAGTTATGCGATAGAATTATAAGTACTTTTAGCTTTATGTAGTCTTTCTCTGTACCTATAGTAGGTATAGAAATACATAGATGTGTATATATGTGTTTCATTTGTAACATACACTATACTACATATAGTATACTATATACTATAGAATGCAGTATAAATTTTAGTTTTGGGTGTGAATCATACTCACCTGCCTAAATCACATAATAGCTTTATATCTCAAGTTCTCGATAAAACAGAAATAAATATCCTTGTCCTGCTGAAAAGGAAACAATGGTATGTAATGGAAGCTCTTGGAAGAGTTTGCAGTTTCACACATTTCTGAGATGTTATTGAACTTATTTCAGATCCTAAAGAGTTCAAACCAGATATATAATCAACGGGGAACATACAAACTATTGTCAAGAAGTCATGAAACTTCAGACATCTACAGTACTGAGAACTCTTGATTAATCTCTGAAAATTTACTCAAAACAGTTTATTCTAGGCACTTTCTAACCATTATTTAATTTAATCTTCACATTAATTATAATCCCCATTTTATGACTGAAGAAACTGAAATTCAAGAGAGCTGAGTAACTTGACTAGCCATCTATAACTAACAAACAAAGGAAGATTCAAATCCTTGTCACTTTACCTAACTGTTCTATATTGTTGAAGGTTACACTTTGGGTTTAATGGTATATGTTGGTGAGCACCATCCAGCACTTTTTCCAGTTCACCAAGACATGGAGAAAGTCCGTCCACTGGACAGCTGCTCAATAATGGCTTTAGGGTATCCCGCTTTGTGACAGAGGCACAGCGTGAAGAAGTAGACAGTGTTGCATGAGAAAGAGCCTTATATCAAAGCAAGACCGATGAGAGGCATACACACGTGTCCACATCACATGCTTTAAAGGTGATTCCTCACGAACTCCAACCCTTTCATTTTATTGAAGAAAAGCAACAATGTTAGCAGGTGACAAGGAGAATTTTCTGAGTAGAATTAGGGGAAGAACAATGTCTCCTCTCCTGAACCTTTGCTCTGACACCTCCTCAGTTGCTACCCAACCTATACTAATCATTTTTATTGTTTAACTTTAAAAGAAAAACAATGCATTCTAGATACTAATATTTAAAGACTATATTCATTCTGTAATATGAAAAAGAAGAGTCCTTGGTTTCAAAAGGATCCTATGTGTTAATCTCTGTCTGAAGCAAAAAAAATTTACCCAGACTAGCATACTAGCATAGGCACATATGAGAAGGGGAGGGAAACAGGTCTTCCCTTCATCAGCCTTTCTCATGTTGGACAGTTTTTGCTGCATGCAAATTCCACCTTAAGACTAAATAGTATCTTACCAGAACTTAAACTCATCTTTCTACACTATATTCCATGACTAGAGATAGCAGATAGAGATTTTAGATATAGTGTTTTAGGAAATGAATGGGAAGGGATATGTTGTGTGTGTGTTGGTGTATGTGTGTATAAGGAAAAGTAAGCCTGTTGTACAGGAAAGGACACTTGATTGAGCCACGTGTCAGAGTGTGAAGTTTAGAGTAGTGGACACATTTCTCTTAGTATCTGCCTCCATCTCTGGGAAATGCTGAGTTAGCTGATCTCTTGTTTGTTCTTGGCTCAAAAATCCAATAATGCTATAAAAATAGGTGCAATCCGAGCAGTGGCCAATTGTCTGTGTTGAATTTTCCTTCTTCTAGAGTAGGATTATAAAACACTGTGTCTTCTAAATTTGATGTCTCCACTGTAGAATTGTTTGTCCCATTTAAAACAGATAAGCAACAGGATTTTATAAAGACCTGGCAAACACATGGTAGTAAAGTAGGCAAAGGGAAAATGACAGTATTCCACATTCTTTTTCTTCCTGTTTTAAGAAACTAGACTGTACATGTCCTCAGTCTTCTCCAAGCGACATCCCACAGAGGTACTGCTAGGAGGCTCTTTATATCAGAGCAGCTTCAGACAGGTCTCACATTATAGAAAGTGCA